ATCGAATAAAAAGTTGAAAGTTTCAACAAACAACTTGAGAGATTCAAATGAAAAGAGCTACCGGGAGATAACACAGGAGTTATTGTCACAAAAAAACAATTCAATTTCATAAGAACTTTTTTAATCACCATCATCAGGGTCATAGTCAAAGATAAACAAGTATGGAGTTACAGGTTCGAGTCCAAGATCTTCGACCGCCATGCTGGGCCCGAAAGGCTTGTTCCAACCCAGCCGTTGCAAGTAAACCGAATCATAGGCTTCGATGTTTAAACCTGAAGCAAGAAACAGCTCCAACTCGAGCACGAACCGGTCCGCTCTTTCTGACAGGAATGGCTTTGCTGCATCAAGGATCATGCTGTTAAACCTGTCCCTCTTCAGTTGAGGAGTTTCTGTTTGATACCTATGTTCATTTCTTTGAGGAAAAACAAAGAACAAGAAGCAGGTTTCAGAGTGTAATCACTTACCATGCATATTTACATTCATGTGGATAGGTGATTGTAACCGCTTAAGTCCATCGTTAGCAGATATTGTTCGTTTTGGCCCTTTACGTATTGCCGTCAACTTCACGGTTTTAAAACACGTCTACTAGGGAGAGGTTTCCACACTCTTATAAGAAATGTTTCGTTCCCCTCTCCAACCGATGTGAGATCTCACAATCCACCTCCCTTTAGGGCCCAACGTCCTCGCTAGCACACCGCCCAATGTCTAGCTCTGATACCATTTGTAACAGCCCAAATCCACCGCTAGCAGATATTGTCTGTTTTGGCCCATTACGTATCGTCATTAGCCTCACAACTTTTTAAAAGGGCATTTTAAAACCGTGAAGCTGATGACGATATATAACAGATCAAAGGGGACAATATCTGCTAGCGGTAGTCTTGGACTGTTCCATTCATAGTGACTAGGGGTATTCTACCAGCCAAACCCAAATGAAAAGCATAAAAATGACGTTTAATGATAGGTATATAGGGGAGCAGGGTATGGCGGTGGAGCGGCCTTGCTGCCAGGTATGCATCAAAGTGTAGAAATGCAATAGCTGATGGTTATTACCTACTAAAAAATGAATGAATTGAACCAAGTAGGTGGTGCATAATTATGTCAACATCTTCTTCCTGTAAAAAGGGCAGGAGACTATCAGTCATCATCCATAAGGAACTGTAATACAAATGAACAGAATGGATCAATCAAGAAACTACGGCTTAGAAACGGTATCATGCATCTGCTATTGCTATCCTGTTTAGTCTACAGTAATCCATCCCCACAGTCTACAGACATATCTTTACCTCATCTTGCCTACTTTCGACAGCCACAACACCGACATCCACAATACACATAGTTTTTCTCAACCATTGAAATAAAACTATGTAACAGCCCAAGCCACCGCTAGCAAATATTGTCCGCTTTGACCCGTTATGTTTCGCCATCAGCCTCACGATTTTAAATCACATCTACTAGGGAGAGGTTTCCACACTCTTATAAGAAATGCTTCGTTCCCCTCTCCAACCGATGTGGGATCTTACAATCCACCCTCCTTGGGGCCCAGCGTCCTCGCTGGCTCTCCGCCCGGTGTCTGGCTCTAATACCATTGTAACAGCCCAAGTCCACTGCTAGCAGATATTGTCCGCTTTAGCCCGTTCCGTATTGCAGTCAACCTCACAATTTTAAAACGCGTCTACTAGGGAAAGGTTTCCACACTCTTATAAGAAATGTTTCGTTCTCCTCTCCAACTGACGTGAGATCTCATAAACAGAGTTCTCAAATCTTCAATCAGAGGAAGTGAAACGTGCTAGGGGTCATTGTGCCATAAACGAGAGAAACCCCATCCCTCTCCTACCTTTTTACATGCCCACGTCCCATTTTGGAATTAAAAATTTCATTAATTACGGGTAATCCGACCATAGGATAACCTAGGAATGAGGAATAGAAAGCTTTCTCCCTTTCCACCCGCCTCTTTGGTCAAGGGAATTTTGTTTGACATAGGGTGTAAACCATTCTCCAGGACAAAGAAGGGGGCAAAGGACGCAGCACCCATAGAAGTATAAATGCAATGTAAGAAACTCAGTCAGGAACCTGAATCAAAGCTTGAAGTTCCCTTTTCAACCAAACTTCCAGCCACTGGTTTGCCTGGAGATACTTCCGTAACTTCCAATACTTCTGTACATTGAATATGTCATCCAAGAAACCTACACGTACAGCGAAATTCATTAATCCAAGTAATCATGATGTAAATGATGGAGCATCAACACCGAAACGAACCTGGTTCAGTATAATAGCACTGTAATCTATACTTTTGAGCTTTTGATAAGATAAAGCTGCAAATAACATCAATTATAATCCATAGTCAATTAAAACACAGAAAATAAGAATAGAACAGGAAAACCTAGGGGAAGTATCAACAGGAAGATACCTATCCTGAAAATCCTGATTAACATAATGTCTCTGGAAACAATGTCCATCTAATCCATGTATTATAGAAGGACTTTCTGTCTGTTGATTAAATGTAAAAAATAAGAAATGCTATACAATGAAGTATGGAATGCTAAACTGAAACAAGATTAACAGGGGAAGAAAATAGTACCTTGCATAAAGGGCACTTAATGGATGAAAGTGTGCAGGAGTGCTTTCCAGAAACCACTTTAGTCCATTGCACAATGCAATTGTAACAAAATTTATCTGCAAGACAGAGAAATAGAACTAAAAGCTTTCAAACTCCTTAGCAAAGTTTGTTGACGTTCCTTTTTGCTAAATAGTATATCATACTTAACATGAATGATCGAATAATTTCGTTAGAGCAAATTAAATGATCAAGTTCACCCAAACTTTATGGCTTAAACTTTTGAAATTACTGGTAATCAACCTGATGCCAAATGCAAATTCATTTTGATACTCCACGCATTGCACAACAGAACCGAAAGTAATATTCAAGCCCAGATAAAAGGAAGTACATTAAAAGTAAATTAAATGGAGATATTCATCTCAAAGACGTTAAGGGAGTTTATCTTTGAGTGCATTCATCATATCAAAGCAATCCTGTAACAACTCAAGCCTACCGTTAACAGATATTGTCCTCTTTGGGCTTTCTCCTTTCAAGCTTCCCCTCAAGGTTTTTAAAACGCATATGCTAGGGAGAGGTTTCCACACCCTTATAAAGAATGCTTCGTTGCCCTCTCCAACCGATGTGGGATCTCACAATCCACCCCCCCTTCGAGGCCCAACGTCCTCGCTGGCACTCGTTCCCCTCTCCAATCGATGTGGTATTTCATAATCCACCTCCCTTTGGGGCCTAGCGTCCTCGTTGGCACACCATCTGCTGTCTCACCGCTAGCAGATACTTGTACTCTTTGGGCTTTCCCCCCAAGGTTTTTAAAATGCGTATACTAGAGAGAAGTTTCCACACCATTATAAAGAATGTTTCGTTTCCCTCTCCAACCAATGTGAGTTCTCTCAAATCCATAGCACTCTCGCAGCTGTTTCTGTTTTTCCCGAACAGGAAGATGTCATAATATACACTCCAAATTTCTTGCCTAAAGCGTACATGACTAAAGAACTGAATATTGGATCGAATAGAGCATCTCCAGAAAAACTTTAAGTCCACTCCAAAGCTAAAGAATTAGCTAATTTATCTTTATCCCCAATGAAACCAGCTAACTCTATCTTTCATGATAATATAATCATCAGTTTCTTCCATCGAATATAAAGAACAGTAGCGGAAACCTTAATAACCGGGGAGAGCTAAAAGCCGAAATCCCCTAAAAGGACAACAGAGTGGTTCTTTTGATGATACAGTAAGACATAAAGGGATAATTTCCAAGTCGATCACCATAAGAACACGAAAAAAAAAACCCTAATTCATACAAACAAACAAAATTTCTAAATTAATTATCCGTTTGATGTCCGGAAAATTCAAGAAATACGAAAGAACAATCAGATTGAGAGAGAAAAGGACGTACGGAAGCATTTGTCGAGATAGGAAGGTTGAATTATGGGTCCGAGGCAGATCGGGCAAGGGTTCGTATCGTCGGAAGAGGAACTGCTTGTCTCCATCTCCAATGGCGCAGTGCCCTGCAATTCCATGCTCCTTTCCGACAAGGATTTACAATGAGAACGACAATTCGATTGAACGACATGCCGACTCACAATTTATATAAATTAGATTAAATTATAATTATAACGTAAATTTCAACTAATAACTCTAGATTTTTTTAGTTTTTCGAATTAGATTTTTTATATAACCCAAATTTTTTACAAAAATAATTTAACTATTATATATAAATTAAATTTTATATATAATAAAATTTGGTAGGTTTATATTTGTAACTAATTTTTTAAAAATAGGATATATTAAAGATTTATAAAGTACAAAATAATTTACGGAACTTATAAAAACCCCAAATTGTTTGGTCAACACTCACACTGAGAGACGAACGCTAGGGGAGCGAATGAGATTAGATACTCTAGTAGTCCCTCGAACAACGTGATATCTCACATTGGATAAGTCCTTAACCCTTTGTGCTCGATAGTTCCATAGCTAGTTTTTTCAAACCGATTACAGGCCTAAATCATTTGTACCGACAAGACTTTTGGAGTGCTAAAATCCAACGTCGTCGAGATTGAATATTTAACTGGTTAAAAATAAAAATAAAAAAACAAAATCAAAAGTGAATTTTATATGGGATAATGTGCATCTAAAAATAAATAAAATGGTAAAATTCATTTTATTAGATTTATTTGTATATAATAATGTAAATTTTAACAAAAATAGTTATTTTTGTTTATTTATTTATTTTGAGTAGGTTGATAATTTTACTTATATTTGAAATATTATTAAAAAAAATAATTGAAAATTATGCGTTTGAAAAAGATTAAATTATTTAGTTGATTTTGGAAAATTATAATATAATTATATATATTAATATCAAAATTAGGGGATGAATTTAGGGTAAATTTTCAAATTTTTTTTGTGAACTCCGAAGGAGTGGATCCCCAACGGTCGTTCTCATTAGTCATTTCCTGGATCCCTCGGCCGAGAGGCAAAGCATCAGAGTAAAATGCAGACCACAGCCATAGCTCCTTCTTCACATGCCTCCATTTTCTTCAACCCACTTCTCAATTTCACCATTTCAAATCCCCTAATCCCCTCCAACTCGACATTTCTCTCGACCCTTGTTGCAGTTTCCGATGGATTTCGGGCTCAAACATCGATCATTTGCGCCAGGAAGAAGAGGAGGAGACCCGTGTTTCTGAGATCGACCAAATTAGTGCTTGAATTGGCGTCTCTCTTTGCCTCCAACCTAAAGATCTTACCGCCGCCGCTGGATTTGGTCGTCGCGGAATTGAGCGGCGGAGATGGCAATGGAGGTGGTTCGCGGTTGTGGAGGAGATTTGGTGGAGGCGGCTATGATGGATGGAGAGGTAAGAGGAAGAAAACCCCATTGTTGATTGGGTTTTTGGTTCTTTGTGGTCTTGCTTTGTGCGTTTTCACTGATTTTGAGCTCGATGCGATTTGTGGAGCTCTTGGATTTGCTGTATTTAGCGTTGCATTAATTCAATTGTGGGAGAGAAGTGGGATTTCGAAACATTTCGTTTGGGGATTTGGCCTTTTCGGCATTTTGATTGCCTTGGGATTGAGAAGATCTGAGGTGCAAAAATGGGCTGGGAAATTAGGGTTTTACCGTCCAAAGATCAAGAGTTTGAGAAGAAAAATTAAAGGTAAGAAAATCTTATGAGAGCTCTTCGATTACCTCTATCTATCTATATATATAAAAGCAATTTTTTCTTCTCGAATGAAATTATTATTGGGACGGTTTCTATGAAAAAACAACCCTGTTCTATTTAGTACTAGTTCTAAAAGTGATTGTAAAGCTCCCCACTATCGAGTGCGATAAAGCCAAGTTTTCAAGCAGCCAAGAACATAGCTGCTGCAACCAACACACTCTATCCAAAGAGTCGTTTGTGATTTCCTTCTCGAACAGGCAGTGAGAGGTCTTGTTCGAGTGTTGTAAGAACGAAACTCCTACTCTTTGCAGGGTATATATTCAACAAGTTCGGCAACCCATTCCCTTTTTTCTATAGCACGGAAGAGCTATATTTAACTACAGTGATAGAAGAACCTCGACTAGAGTTGCAAGTAAAGACCAGTAAGTCCTACTTAGAGAACCTTTTTGTTCGATTTCCATTTAGAAGTTCCAAATTTCAATGCTCCCCTTCTTCAAGGGAAGAAAAAGATCCAATTTTCACTTTTCGTCCATTTCCATGATCTTCAATCTTTGCCCATCTGCTTGAGAACGAAGATAATGAAGCAGAATTATTACAGTATTATAAGTTTCTTGGAAAAATGCAAAACCATGAAGGAGTTGAAGCAAATACACAGCCTGATGGTTACAACTTCATTCATCAAGAACATAATCCCCTGCAGCAGACTTATTGATTTTTGCGCAAATTCCGAGCTGGGTGACATCGAATACGCAAGATCAGTTTTCGATGGCATTGATCAGCGCAGTGTCTACATATGGAACTCGATGATCAAAGGCTACTGCAATGGCAGTGATAAGTTTGAAGCTCTGTTTATGTATGAAGAAATGCAGCGTAAAGGCTTCTCCCCAGACCATTTCACTTTCCCTTTTGTGTTGAAAGTGTGCTCCATAATCGATCTTCTTCGATACGGGCAAGGCATTCACAGTCGAATTCTGAGAACTGGGTTTGAATTAGATTCGTATACTTGTTCTTGTTTGCTCAATATGTATGTTTCTTGTGGAGATTTGAGTTCTGGGCTGAAGGTGTTTGAGTTTATTCCCAAGCGGAATGTGGTCGCTTGGACTTCATTAATTGCAGGGTTTGTGAATAATGATCAGGCTAGTGAAGCTTTGAGATTGTTCCAAGATATGGAGAATGAAGGTGTGGAGCCTAATGAAATCACCATGGCCACTGCCTTGGCTGCAGCCGCTCGTTGCAGGGATATCGTCGCTGGAAAATTGGTTCACGATCGTCTCTGCCAACTTGGTTACAATCCATTCGATACAAACTCTTGCTTCAATGTAATACTTGCAACTGCAATCATGGACATGTATGCAAAATGTGGCAAGTTGGTGACTGCTCGGAATCTATTTGACAAAATGCCTCGAAGGAACTTGGTTGTTTGGAATTCGATGATCGGTGCTTATAGTCAATATGGTCGAGGCGTGGAGGCGTTACGTCTTTTTGTTGACATGGGATTGGCTGGGTTTGTTCCTGATAAAGCAACATTTCTGAGTGTGATAAGTGCTGGCACCCAGCTGGGGTTTCAATCAACAGGGCGAAGTCTACATGCTCGTGTGTTAAAAACGAGCTTTGGCGAATACGTTGCCATTGGAACTGCTCTTATGGACATGTACGCCAAAGCTGGAGATGCAGGTACTGCGTTGAAGATCTTCAGCAAGTTGCAGAAGAAAGACGTAATGGCCTGGACGACAATGATACTAGGCTTAGCAATCAACGGCAAAGGCGAAGAAGCACTACATATGTTCAGAAGAATGAAAGCAGAAGCTGACGTTGCTCCCGACCGGGTCACCTACATTGGAGTTCTATGGGCATGTAGCCATCTCGGGCTGGTTGAAGAAGGTCAGCAACAGTTCACCTCCATGACTGAGGTTTACGGTATCGAGCCTACTATAGAGCATTATGGCATCATGATCGATCTCTTGAGTCGAGCAGGTCACTTCGAAGAGGCCCAGGAGTTCCTGAAGAAAATGCCAATGCAACCTAATGCAACAATATGGAGTTCTATTCTGAATGGATGTGAAATGTATGGAAATGTAGGCCTTGCCAACAGAGTGAAAAGTCACATAGCAGAGCTAAAGCATTCCAGCAGTGGTGTTTATGTACTTCTATCAAATATTTATGCTAGAGCCAGTAATTGGCAGGGAATGAAGCTGGCTAGAGGTATGTTAAAGCATAAAAGAATAGGAAAAACTCTTGGGCACAGTTTTGTTGAAGTAAAGTTGCTGCCTTCATAGCTAATGCTACTAGTATTGCGCACATCAATAGTTCCACATTGATGCGTCCAAACTAAGAAACTGGAAAAACAATCAAATCGGGCCGAGTCAAGTCAATCAATCTTCTAACATAACAAGTATTTAAAAATCCAATTTCAATACGCGTGTCATCGAACAAACTTGAATTCCCCACCAGCGATGTTCAGTTGGCAAAGATAAATCTCGCCTAAGGTCTAACAAAGCTACAAAGCCGAGTAGAAAATATATATAGGGCTTGAGTTCCCTTTAAGGCTGTGAGCGTGTCAAGATCACGACGCTGCACGGTTGAAAAAGTAGGTGCACTCAATATATGGTTGAAAGACCTTGCAAATGTATTAAGAGTGCCAGAACGGTCAAGACAGTTGCAGGTAAGAATTAGAATAATTCTAACTATTTTTACTTGAATTTGAGTTTAATCCAGAATCGTTCTACTTCTGCTACGATTTCAATTGTTTCGTTTTCTCAGAGTAAAAACCAAACCAAATTTACTTGATGCTTGTAACAAAAGTGAGGTTATTTCAGCTATGTGACCTGTTACACAGTTTCAGTCACAGATGGAGAGAGAGATCCAGAGATCATGAAACTGGATAGTAAAATGAACTAGTCGCTTGTTATCTATACATCAGATCTTTTAACAAAATCACAAATTCCATAGCATTGTGATGAATTTCTGGGAGCTTGGACGAGAAAACTAAGCTGGTCCTTTCAAAGCATCACCTAGGAACTGAGAGAGAGAAAATGATCTAACTTCCTTCCTAATAGGCCATGTTTCTTAATGAATAACTGTCTTCTACAGAAAGGCATTTTCCTAAACAAAATACCAAAATGAGCCTAAATCATCTCTGTATTTTAACCCACTACCACACCCTCCACCCCAAAATCGTTTAAGCCTGTTATCACCTTTTAGGTACAGTGCCTTCTAAAATCCCATCAGCACCAAAAGCACCTGAAAATTGTAGGTTATTGACAGGACCAGGTAGCTGGAAAGTGATAGAGAAATGACCTGGTGGGCATAGATTTTTAGATTGCATCCGAAATACTTGTGAATTCTTACATACTATGCTCTCCCCTGTTGTTGTTACTCCTTTTATTTTGACATTCCCATCCGGCTCCATGTCACAACTGAAGCTGTCTGCTGCCATGAAACAATAGTCTGGTCAGATAGATAATTTTCATGTGCACCAAACAGAACTCGATGCAATTGCGACAACGAAAAACAGAAAAGAGAACTAAACTTGTGCCCATAACAAATAACACGAAACATTGCACGTTATGGTGGCGAAGTGAGGAAATTGATCAGTTTCAACAAACACTCACTTTGATCTCTAGCCACCCCTGGAAGAGAAACACGGAAGAAGTATGAATTCTCGTTCTCGCCAATGTCCACACGTCCAATGACTGGACCAACTTGTCCCATGGCTGCAGTCCCAGTGAGGGAGACCCCAGTTTTGGAGGCAGATACAATATGATCCCATTTTTGACTGGTCGTGAGAGGACAATATACCATAGCTGGTCCAACCTTCACCATAGCCTCCGGATCTTCAACTCGTGGAGAAGAAGGAACGTAGCTGTGTGGTAGAGGTGGACCAATATATGGCATGCTATTGATGGGAGCCACATTGAGTATGCGGTGTCGAATATTTAATGATTCTGCCTCATTTTTTCTTGTTTCCTCAACCCTGCAATACATTGAACAAATATTAAGGACGAATCTTTAAACTCCCTTTTCTAATTTTTTTAAAAAAAAAAAAAAACAGAAGGATCTCCCTCACATCAGGATGTTCAATCACCATTCAAGTCCAATAAGAACAATTAACTCATAAGTTGAAAAATCGCCCTGGAAGTGTTTTAATGGTAATGTGAGGAAGGAAACATAGACATCTAATACAATCTCAGTATAAGAGGTCTGAGATTAATACACAGTCGTTGCGAAAAGCAAAAGTTGTGTTGGAAATTTCTATCCTCTTGTGTGCATGTGATATAGTGTTTTTGGAGTGCAGGCGACATGCTCATCTTGTTCGCAGAGTAGGGAGAAGAACATAAAAGATGTTACCAGCATGATACTAGACACATAACATAATGAACAAAGGCATAATCATAAGTAGAAAGTAAGAGATAGGAAAGTATGATAGCATAACAAAAATATATAATTCGGCCTAAGCTTTCGATTTGGTCAAGAGAAAATTTGTGGGAAGAAGAAAGGATATTTTAGTCTTGAAGCTGATATGGTTGAAACAACAGATGGAAGATGGGCTGTGAAAGAAATACAAGCAGATTGCGACACCCACCTCCAACAATTTCTCCTTACCCACAGTCTCTTTGAAAAAATAAATTTCCAAAGCACAAATGACTTTTTCTCAAACAGCAGCCAAAATGTCACGGAGAGGATTCACTTAATGTACTTGTTTCTTTCCAAAGCCAGAGTTGTATTCACGTTATTACATAAGAAGACAAAGGCAAATGCCAGGAGGCTAAGCTACAGGACAGGTACAGATATAAATGAGTATGCCAACGCTACGAAAAATGGCATGAGGTTAATGATATGCTTGGACTATCGAATACTGTAACGATGGCCTATGCTATCAGTAGATATTATGTGAATTTGGATGTCTAGGTGAGTATTCATGAGCATGAGAGAGAACGAGACAAACAAATAGAAATTCTTAAAATAGAGAAAGGTGTGAGTTTCCAAGAAAGAGGTACATACTGGGGTTGCAAGTGAATAAAGAACAAAATTGATCAAATTTGGTTAATGTCATAACAAGTTAATTTGAATTCTAAGTTGTTAACATTCCCTATATAGGATTTCCTCAGAAAACAGATAATCAGAACAATACATGTTTCATTACAATGTACATACATTTGCAATTCCCTTGTATCATAGCCGACTTTTAAGAAACTAACACTCATTTACTTTATGCTGTAATACAGAATATATGAAGCTTGTCGTTTATGATTAAGAAAAGGTTAAGAAGAAAATATCTTAAAATTTAAGATTATTAGTGATAATTTGCCCCGAGTCGATCTTTTTCTTAGGTCAAGATGTGGATAAAGATTCAAACCTCTGACATTTAGGGTAAGGGTTAAGATTATAATGCCTAATTTGGCTTCTGAACCTGAGACATGTCAGGCAAAAAAAAAAAAAAAAAAAAACTCAACTAGATTTGAAAATCTGTTGTCAAATGGACATAAGCCTCTAGAACTAAAACACAAAATTCAACAAGGACAAGCAATTAAAAACATCGATATGGACCAAAAGAATTAGAACGCATCTCAAAAAGCATATAAGTTCTCTAAACACCATCTAGAAGCAGTGCAAATTCCAGAATATATACAAGTTTCTTAAAAGTTGGATATGAGCAGAACAAATTAGAATGCATCTCGAAAAACATACCTCTATGCCTTTATGCAAAACCTCATGATTCAACACTAATTTATTTGACCTGACCCGCTAAGGCAAAATTTAAGGGAAGTCTGAAAATATACTTTCCAAATGAGAAATTACAGTAAAACCTCCGAATCTTTATAAAGCAGGCACGTTAAAGAACTCACAAACCCATGAACTGAATCTTTTGGTCAAAGCTTTCTGCTGGATTCTATGGAGAGAAAGAAACAACCGCCTTTTCAATGACAAAGCTAAGCCTTTTGACTACTTCTTAGACTAGGTGCTCTTTACTGCTTTCAGTCGGTGCAAATGTACAAATTCTTAAAGGACTATATTCTCAGAATCTCACTGATCTTATATCTAGTTGGAAGAATATTCCATTCTGCCTGGTTGGAAGGTTCTCATTCCCTTTGGTAATAAGTTTATTGAATAGGGTCGTCTTACCATCGATTCGATTTCATGTCAACCAAAGAGCATAACTCGTCCCAAAATATGAACAGAACCATACATAAGAGCACTTATGGCTCATCCCCGGATATCTATTATAGATGTAACAGTCCAAGCCCACCGCTAGCAGATATTGTCCTCTTTGGCTTTTCCTTCCGAACTTCCCCTAAGGTTTCAAAACACACCTGCTAGGGAGAGGTTTCATATCCTTTTAAGAAATGTTTTGTTTCCCTCTCCAACCAATGTGAGATCTCACAATTCATCCCTCTTAGGGCCCAGTGTCCTCGTTGGCACACCATTCAGTGTCAGTCTCTAATATCTTTTGTAACAGCCCCTGTTCAGTGTCGGCCTCTAATATCTTTTGTAACAGCCCAAGCTCACCACTAGCAGATATTGTCCTCTTTGACCTTTCCGCTCCCCCTCAAATTTTAAAACTGTTTTACTAGGAAGAGATTTCCACACCCTTATAAAAAATGCTTCGTTACACTCTCCAACCAACGTAGAATCTCACAGAACCTCAATTTTTTTTTAAAATCGCCAAGATCTTAAACAAAGCTCCGCCAGATTTTCATCTCACCACGTTCCCCTCTTAAGCAAACCCAAAACCAATAGTTCTCACTCACCATCAAGCACCAATTCAGAACAAAAACACATAAAAACGATGCCTACATATACCTACATTCACTTCCAAACGAACAGAATGCAAAAATTTCCATCAATTCTTGGTAAAAATCCGAAACTACAGTTCATTTCTCATTATCACCAAAAACCTTTACCCCAATACTCACCTTCTTCATAAATATAATGTTCAAGTACAAAAAACAAGAAGGCCATAATTAATCAGAGAAGAGATATTCCCCCCTTTGCCACATTAACCGATGATTTAAAGGAGAACAGACAGATACAGAGACAAAGATACGATAGTCACATCGAACATGAAGAGAAGAATATACCGAGCCGGAGAAGTCATCGGAGAGTCGCCGGAGAGTTTGAAAGCTTGTGGCAGTAGCAGGTGGAAGAGGAAGTTCCGATTTCGTCAACGTATCGAGTAACACTGACAGAGAAGTGATCGTGGATGTTCAATTTATAAGCAGCATTGAATAGGGCTGAGATGGCCACGTCGGTTTTTTAATTTATTTTATTTTTTAGTTTCATCTTGTAACGTTCACTTAGTTCTAAGTTGAAACTAAGACAGCCAATGGAAAAAATGTTAATTAAAATCTTAAATTAATAATTTAATTAATTAAAGTAAACTTTCCTTAGTGGAGAGATTCAAACATTTGACGTTATGTTTAAATAAATTAGCTAGCCTGTAATGCTCTATGTCTAGGATAGAGATAATAATCTGGAATTCGACTTAGACATTTGATGACTCCGACATTCCTCTACATCTTGATAGGACTGACTATCTTATACTCAAGATTCAAATTAGGATTTGAAATTTGGTTTCGTCGTTTGATGGTCAGATATTGCCCTACAACATGATCACTTAGAAGTTCGTTAGTTAAGAGAAGATGAAGACGACTCGTTTCATTGAAAGTCGCATATGAGTTACAGGGCTTTGTCATAGCCCAAGCTTCCTCTGTATACGTAGAGTGTATGCATAAACTGAAAGGGGAAACAGAGATTACCAAAAATGCGAGCCAGACCACAAAGCAGTTGATTGCACACAACGAAACCAAGATGCTAACCACCCGAAAGGAAAAATCCAAAAAAGAAAATATTTACTAACGGTGGGCTTAAGCTGATACATTCACTCAATGTTATTGAACCTGCCGACAATACATCAAATAAACAGTTCTACAACTCGACTCTGTTACAGCATTTGTAATTTTTCAGCTCCATAGACCACATCTGACTGACTCTAATATTGTGGACAAGAAATTTGGTCCAGCAATGCTATTTCTTCCTAGACAACCATGTGAAGAAGATTGGGGGGAATCTAGTAGGCTGCTACAAGTAAAAGATTTACTCCTCCATTGCTTCAGTTATGGTGGTGTAATTATAAATACTCAAATCTTAAGAAGAGATCACCCATATTTGGAGTTCATGTAGATCAGTACCTAAATTTAGGGCCATCTGCCACCACAAAGACTATGTAATTGAGACATGGAGGGGGGGGGGGAAAGAACCAAACTGTGTTATATCAATTCATAATGGCCTTGGAAAACGCCACACTTCAATTCCTCCTCTTCCTGTTCCCTTCAGGAAATGTTCAGTGTTTGTAACGTTGTTGATTAACAAGGTGAGGCTAAAACCTATGTAAAAGTTTAGTTCAGAAATTACAATGAATGGAGAAATCTCCTCATCTATATTCCTTTGGCAAGTGGTATCCAGACATCACCAATTTGTCTGCAAACATCTTGCCTGTCTTTGGCATCACATGCCAATGCAATGTCAAGTTAAACTCTTTGCCTCTCAGATTGCTTCCCTGCATAAGGAGATATCCAACTTAGTCACTCTCGGCTAAACTAAATTGGTTGGAGAAGTTTTGCAAAAGGGTCGGAGGCGACGAACCTGATCAACGAAACGATACTTGTTTGAAGTATGGATCTGAAATTTGGCTATCTCTTTGGAAGGTATGATACCGTCCCAAAGTGAGATCTGCAGAGGATATTTGAGGAAGGGATTAAATTGATGGGAAGTTGAGTTGCCAAAAGAGATGAAACTTAAAAAGAAACAGAAACTCACCTGATTCAAGGAGTTCGCTGGGGTTTCATATTCAGCAGCAAGAAACACAAAAACCTGTTCCACATGTTAAAATGAAGATTATGCAATCAGTTCACTGCTTGGTAAAATATAACACACACAAATCTCAACAAGGAAAGGTTTTATTATAGTTTACAAAAAACGAATGGAAACAGATCAAACCAATGCGATTCCCGACACTATTATTGACTTGAACAATGGAGTTCACAGAATACACAAATAGTGGCAAGAAACCATGATGACCACCCTCTGTAGAATGGACGTCTGGCTATTAGAAATGCTATTAACTTCAGGCGTGACGAAAGTTTGTTCGAGACTGATAAAAGACCCCGATGGTAGTAATTAGAAGAGAGTGAAGGGAGAGTGACTTAGCATTTAGCTTGAACATAAGGGGTGGGCTTTAATGTAACTAGTGAGTTAGATTGGTGGGAGGGCTCAAGTCAGAGAGTATGTAGCAAAAAGAAAGATTATGATAGAGAGGATGCTATCTGTGAGATCCCACATCAGTTGGGGAGAAGGACGAATCATTGTTTATAAGGGTGTGGAAACCTCTCCCTAGCCGATGCGTTTTAAAAACTTTGAGTGGAAGCCCGAAAGGGAAAGCTCAAAGAGGACACTATCTACTAACGGTGAGCTTAGGCTGTTACAAATGATAGCAAAGCCAGACACCAGGCGGTGTGCCAGCGAGGACGCTAAGCCTTGAAGGAGGGTAGACACTAGGCAGTGTGCCAGCGAGGACGCCGGGTCCCGATGGGGGGTGGATTATGAGATCCCATATCGATTGAAGAGAGGAACGAGTGCCAACGAGGGTGCTGGGACCCCAAAGGGGGGTGGATTGTGAGATCTCACATTGATTGGAGAGGGGAACGAGTGTCAGCGAGGACACTGGGCCCTAAAGGGAGTGGATTGTGAGATCCCACATTGGTTGGGGAAGAGAACAAAACATTTTTTATAAGGGTGTGGAAACCTCTCCCTAGCAGAGGCGTTTTAAAAACCTTGAGGAGATGCCCAAAAGGAAAGCCCAAAGAGAACAATATCTGCTAGCGATGGGCTTGGGCCGTTACACTATCTGAGTGAAGTTTTAGATCGAATTCTTCCTCAACTATGTATCGTGTGAATAAACAAACGAGTTATATCAATTCATTATTTATAACTATCATAAATAACCAACAATACTCTATGCGAAGGATTATTAGAGAATAAAAGAGGAAAATTAGTTGCCAGTGCACCTGCTTTGTATTCCATGTAAATAATGACTGCAAGTCAGCTGATATGTTCAAAGTCATGCTAACCTGCAAAAAGAAGGCACGTTCTTTCAAATAACCAACAAAAGGTGCTTGCATTGTTTTATGATTATCATCTCATTAGTCCTCTCGCAAAGAATCTGAAAACTAATTTTTTTGTTTACAGTTCATTATCAAGCACTTTGGTTGAAAAAAGTGCAGCGAAGAACTAAAGTATCCTCAAGAAAAAGGGATTACATTGTTTCGGGATAATAAGCTAGTCAATCGCTCTCGCACAGAGTCCACCATTTCATGAATGCAATAAGAACACAAGAATCATATATCATCTCTTTAGAGATCTGATCATGAATACAGAGTAATTACTCAGTAACTGTACAAGGTAGGAGATAAAATTGCATACATATTCATTAAAAGCCTTGAAAATTGACTGGTTCATGAAGATGATGGAGTCGTGGAAGTCTAGCTTATGGGGAGTTTTGCTGGAAGTTTATCGACTCCACGAAAAAAGTATTCATACTCAATCTCATACCGACACATTCAAACAAAAGAAGCCTGTTCTTTCAAAAAAAACTCAAGAAAAAAAAATCCTCTTTTAGTTTAAGCCTTCCTTGATCTTTACTTTCTTGCTTACGAATGAGTGAAAAAGACCCCTTTATTATACTATCCCATAAGATTTTTACTTTCATGTACCTAAAGGTATTTAATAAATTGCTCTTCATATACTTTAAAATTCATGATTTGTGTATCTAAAGGTATTTAAAATTTCAAAGGACTAAGAGTTATAACAGCCCAAGCCCACCGCTAACAGATATTGTCCTCTTTGGGCTTTCCCCTTTGGGTTTCCCCTCAAAGTTTTAAAACGCGTCTGCTAGGAAGAGGTTTCCACATCCCTTATAAAGAATGCTTCGTTCTCCTCCCCAATCAATGTGAGATCAAGTAAAGTAATCTCTTAAAGAAATTAAAAGACTCCTATTCAAGATTACAGCCAACCCACCATCCTTCAACAAAAAGAAACATGACTTGCCATCAGATAAGAAGAAACAACATTTGATTGGATTAAAAAGCCTGGAAAATATCGTTTCCTAAACAAAAAGGCCTAGCAATAAATATTTTCAAGTTTGTCTAGGCTAAGCTGGTGCTTCCCTAAAAGGAATGAAGCCCAAGCCCACGCTTTCCCTTTCGGGCTTCCCCTCAAAGTTTTTAAAACGTGTCTACTAGGGAGAAGTTTCCGCACCTTTATAAAGAATGCTTCATTCTTCTCCCCAACCGATGTGGGATCTCACATTTTTTGTACTTCTTTTAAGGAGTAAGGAGTAAGTCAATAGTTATTTGGCCTAATGATACTATGGCAAGGCTATGGAAGTTTTGGCTTGAGAGGAACTAGAGGGTCTTCAAAGAGGGAGATGATCAGCCTTGACAAGCTTTGGGACTCCATTAAACCCTTTGCATCCATCGAGTGTTCTCTTTCCAACGTTTATTGTATTATGACTTTGTTCACATTTCAGCTAATTGAAGTCTTTTTTGCAAGCATTTGGAAGGATATATCATCTCCCATTTCATATGATCTTTCCTCATCAATATGTTCTTATGTTTCTTAAAGAAAACACAGCAAAATCCCATGCTAGAAAAAAAGAACTGAAAACACTAATAAACGTGGAGAAAATCTTCGTCTATCATAACATTTATCGTCTCCTCCATGCGTTTGTCAAGGTTGTATTTTTCGCTAGTTTGTCGTTTTGCATGTCAATCATATCATATCATTTACATATTTTCAGACATAACACTCCACATCATCATAACATATCATAAACAGTCACATAGCATATCCCGAGCGTACCTTCAACATATCTTATTATAGACATATCAATTCATCAAATCTATCGTACCATAACCTATATCATATCATTCTCATATTATATTACAATATATAAATACATACATCGTTCCCATATTCTAACCATTTCGTAAACATTTCATAGTCATATCAATCCTAAGAGGATGAAAGCTCAGAAATGTTTCCCCAACCATGATTTTCATACACCCATGGGAAAAATCTTCCGCTTTTGGCTCGCCGTGGGCGAGAGAGGATTCGAACAAGGAAATACCACATCATTGTTCGTAGATACGTGCGTGCTCTTTCTAAGCTACATGCCCTACCCTGTCTCCAATAACCAAATTGGTTCTTCTACATAATTTTTAAAGACACAACTGTCCAGTTCATCAAATCAAATAGCAAATCATATAGTACACAAGATAAAGAAAAGGGTCATAAAACTCAACACTTTGGAAACTGGAATGCCCTACATAATTAACCTAAAAATCCCTCTTCTCACACAAAATTTCACAAACTCAAGAGACAAGAAACAGGCGTAATCGATCATACCTCATCGTTTCCATTGGGTTGGCATTGAAACCAGTTGATGCTCAAAACCTAAGACCCAAAAAACAAGAAAACCAAATCAAATCACCAAATGGGTCTCGCAATCAAACCAAAAATCCAAGAGAATTCAAGCACAGATCTAAAGGGGAAAACCCAGAAAGAAGGGGAACAAGAAGAGAGACCTGAACTTGTGCTGTGGGTGAAGGCGAATTGAGGGTATCGGAGAAGGAAGCTATAGCACAAATGACGGCGAGTATTGTGGCCGCAAAGGTCAGCAAAGCGTTGGCTCTGTACCCAAATGAATGCATTTTGAACTGGTTTCTTTGATTCTCCTTCACCCAATTACTCAACCGTCTCGAATTCTAAGAACTTGCAATGGGAGGAGACTTGGAAAGGAAATTGAGTCTCGCTCGAACAGGGCAGAGAGAAAGAGAGGGATCGCATGATCTGGCAATTTTGAGACCTTTGATTGGAGGAAATACGTTGAATCAATGGTGGTACTCACTCCCAAGGAGGAAAATTTTCATTTTTTTTTATATGGGTGTATATAACATATTTTTTTTTTACCCACCCAAAATTTATTCAATCAAATTTGTTACTTGAATGAACCTATTAGATTAGATTTGCTACTTGATTGAATCTATCAGGTTTATATCTAACTCAACCCTCTGTAATAACGTGCACTTTCATTTTTGGTGGCTCAATCAAACTCTATGGTTAAGCGTACTTTCCTTGAAACAATTTTATGTTGGTGACATCTTTAGAATTTTCCTGAAATGCATGCGAGTAAGAACAAAACATATGGGAAGAACTTATGTTATTTCGTAGGAATAGTTTGGAAAAGTTAAATAAAGTTTTGTAACTAATAAAGGCCAGACATAAGTTCTTCCATCTTGCCTTTAATAGTTACAAATAGTTATTAAAATTCAACCATAACTAACATATTTTCGTGTTTATAAACCCACGTTCGGTATTATCAATGTTTTCAATTTACGATATATATATTTTAGTACAACAAATGTAGAGTACGAAAATTGGAACATTCGATCTCAAAAAAATATTCTTTATAATAGTGTAGAAATCTCTCTCTAGCATATGCATTTTAAAACCGTGAGGGTGACAACGATACGTAATGGATCAAAGCGGACAAGACTTGCTAACAGTGGGCTTGGGCGGTTACAAATGTTATCAGAGCCAGACACGGGGCGGTATGCTAGTGAAAATGTTGGTCTCCTAACGGAGTGGATTGGGAGATCTCACATTGGTTAGAGAAAGATTATAAGGGCGTCAAATGCGTTTTAAAACTACGAGGTTAAGTGAGTATAATATTATTTTTTAAAATTTATTCTCATGGTTTTATACACTTATCAACAAACTCCTTTGCATAATGCACACTTTATTTAACTTTTCCAAAGTTTTTTTAAATAATAATATCTCTTCCTTTATAGAATTATTTTTTTTTTATATTTTTTTATCAAATAAATCTTTAATTCTCACGAATTTTAAATTAAAGATTGGGATTCGTTTTTAGATTAGAGAAAATAGTAATCGAAGCATTTATGGATTAAAATATATGTTTTCATTTTATTTATTTATTAATAAGAATAAATGAAAGAAATAAAAATATTTATAATTCGGAATTTCCTTTTTAAGAGAATTTTAGAAACTTCATAGAAGGAGAGATTTTGAGAATATATTCTTATAAGAAAACTGTCAAAAGGTGACAGCTGGATTTTCTTTGTATTCTCCATTATTCAAATAATACAAAAAAATAATAATAATAATAATAAAATTTATGAATTTGTGTCTTCTAGTGTAGGTATTAATTAATTAATTAATTAATGCCCTAAAACCCTAAATTCTAACCCTAAAATAAAAGTAACCGATTTAATATTTAATTTTTTATGAAAATTCAACTAAATTGGTATCGAAATATTACGTAGAGTTGGGTCATTTTGGGTTTAGGGGTTTAGGGAGCGTGTGAAGAATTTCTTATATGCTAAACGAGAATAGGACCCAACATGGTCTGGGTTTGCCCTGTTTTTCGAATGTTGCATTGGAACCGAGAGGGACACAACGTGCAAGGATGAGGAGTCAATCACGACTAGCTATTGAATCTGCAAAAACACTCGAAAAATTGCCAAGTGGCAACCTACTTCATTAATTATCCAATAATTAATTAACCTTTTTGAAAAAAAATTAAAGAATTTCCTAATCTTTATCTTGAAGGTCCAATTAACATTTTTCATATTCCGTATATGATTAAATAAAAGCTCCAAATCCAATCTATTACTTCATATCTACGCAATAAAAAATTTACAAAATTATTAATTTTAATTAAAAAATAATTATGACATTATTTATGATACACATTTGACACAACTAAAAAAACTAAAAAACACTAATAAACAAGAAATTTTATACACATTTTTGGTGTATATGAATTTATATGAAGCAAAAAATAAATTTGCCTGGGAGAATTCTTAAGTATATATATTTTTTTTTTTTTGGTATATATGAATGGTGGCAAAAAAAAAAAAATCATTCTAAAAAATAAACCATTTCAGACCGGAAGCCTACTCGACTCGGCCGTGGAATTTCCTTGTCCAAGTTCTCGACCCAAACCCGGTTCACCATGGATACTCCCTCCCCGGGGAGTCTTCATCGATGACATACGAGTAAAAAACGGCGGTGTAATTGACAACACCCATCGGTCTGACTTCGATGTTCGGTCCAACCGTTCAAGTCTTCGGTAATACTTCCCTCGACTACTCCCTTCGCCTGAACCGAACTGGTATCCTCTTATTGAGCTGCTTTGCCTTGCCAGAATTACCATACTCGTCGCCCGGTTGAGTTTCCGGTTCACCACTTGCTTCCTTATTTCAAGTGGCAACCGGAGAGTAAACCGCTCGGTGTCCTCCCCGGGCTGAACCAAGGAGTGGCCAGTTGAGTGAGACCGGGGGAATAACCACCGCAATCTATTGGAGCGGGATCCACGTGTACGGTTACGATTCAACGCCTTGTTAGCCGCCGTCGTCGTATTCAACTCCGATTCAACTGGTATATGAATCGGCGGTGGAGCCGCAGTTGGATTAGTCTCAGAAACGACGTCGTTGTTCTGCGCTTCAATATCTCCTCTGTTCTCATCCGAGTCGACCACGGCGGCGGAATCTTCAACTCGGTGGACGGACTCAGTGAGTTGAGGCGATAAATTAGCGCGACAAACAGGGCAAGTAGTATGAGAAGCCAACCAAGCATCAATACACTCAGGATGAAACACATGGTCACATTTAGGGATTAAACGCAGCGTTTCATCGTCTTCGAATTCATTCAAGCAAACGGCGCATTCTAGGGTACTTTTACCGATTTTATGCTCTTTCACGTCGGAGTAAATTAACGTCGGGAATGTTTCAATCACGGCCGGATCGAGACCACGAGCGGCGCGACGGGACCGAGCAGCGGCGGTCACAGGGCGGACGGAGTTGGATTGGGAATCGTTGCAGTGACGTAAGTAGACGGAGAAGAAAGCGACGAAGAAGAGGGCGGCGATGAGGATTACAATGATGACCGCCATGGAACCGCTGAGGCGATACTGGTAGGGGTCGGATCTGGGGTCGGGGGAGAATTGGGACTGGGCGGAGACGGAAACGGAGAGAAGGAAGAAGAGGGCGGCGTGGACGGCGGTGAAAGAGGCCATGGTTTCGTTTTCTCGGAAATTGGAGGGAGGGTGAAGAGGAGGAGAGGGTTATTATGGGAGAAAGTGGAGGTTGGTGGAGGAGGAAGCCACGGCGGAGGAAAGTCAAGGGAAGGTAGATAAGGTTTAAAAACAGAGAGAGGAATCAGTGTGGGGGAGGAAGTAGGAAGACGCTCGAAACGGTGTCGTGTTGAACAAGAAAAAGTCTAGGGTGATTTGGACTTCGATTGTGGGCCCCACGTATGAGGGATAAAATACCTAATTTTTTTGTATCTCTATTTTTCTTTTCAATTCTATTTTATTTCTCTATTATTTATTGCAAATTTTCTAATTTTCCTCTCTAAATTAGAATCAAATCACTTAAATTAAATTATTTTTTTATAAAAAAAAAGCCCACTCAAATTTGTATTACTCACTCATTTATATTAATTTATTAATTTTAAAAAGTCTGAATTAATTTATTTATGAGGATTATAAATTATTATTTAAATAATTTAGCAAAATTTCAAGATCTTTACTTAATTTATAAAATTATAACAATTTAGTTGGAGGAAAATTATTATACAAATTTTTATAAAACATAAAACAAAATCATTACATAATTAAAATTAACCTTAAATTTTGATTACATTTTTCATCACATTCATCAAAAATATTTTTTAACCATTAAATTAATTTTAATTAGAAGATTCAAATGTATTAAATATATATTAAAAAAAAAAAAGAATGAATGTGATACGACAAGATGGGGAGTGGGTGGCGGTGGTGAAAGAGTGACAACTTGGGATGGTGGCCAATTGTCGTGGATGGCGTTCCATGTGGTGGAATTCCTATACACGAATTGTGATTTCTCTGAGTGAAATCTTATATCCCGGCGGCTACGTAGGAGAACGAAATATTTAAAATCGTGAGGCTGACAACTGTTAGACGAACACGACTCTCCACAATGGTATGATATTATTCACCTTGAGCATAAGCTCTCATGGCTTTGCTTTAGGATTTCCCAAGAGGCCTCATACCAATGGAGAGTATATTCTTAGATTATAAACTCATGACCATTCCCTAACTTAACCAATGTGGGACACTTTCATCTAATAACAACGATACATAACGAACCAAAGCAGACCATATTTATTAACGATGGACTTGAGCTGTTACAAGTGATATCGAAGTCAAACACTAGTCATTGTGCTAGTAAAGACGTTGGCCCCTAAAGAAGTGGATATTTCTTATAAAAGTATTTAGGTCGATGACGATATATAACGAGTCTAGGAGTTATGGTATAAAATAAAGCAACTAGGAAAAGGATTGGTTTTTTTTTTTTTTTTTCTTTCATAAATAAATATATATTCTCAAAAGTTTATTGCTTTCTCTAAACACTAATCTTTCTACAAAGCTTCTAACTTTTTTATGCTTTTCTTTAATGCATTCCTCTTTTTAGTTAGGTCACCTACTCAATAATTATGGAGACATACTACTAGGCCAACTAAATGAGAATACCTAATGTACGAGTTTTAGATCATTTTACTTATCGAACATTCTTGAATTTGTTCTACGAGAGTAAGTTTCGTTTTAAATTAAAGGTACTCATTAGAAACCTAACTCGGCCAATCTTCTTTAATTTATTGAACTTTTAAAGAAAATGTGTCATGTTGAACTAATTTATGTTAAAATCTAGGTTGAACCCATTGTTCTATAGGCATTTTGTTAACGAATTAACATAATCAT